GGAGTTCGCAATCACAGCAGAAATCCCACTCTTGCGGCTCGAAATCGATTGGTTGACGAGGGCGGAGTCAACAGAGCCGGGCTGACGCCTCCTGTCCTGTTAATCCCGCCCCGACTGGTTGACAGTTATCAATGCTTGCTGGCATTGATATACGCTGAATTTCTAGAGTTCCGAGGCGGCGACGTGTATTGGAGAACTCACCAGAGTTTGCGAAACTCGTCTACCGGTTGATCCTTAAATTTCATAGGGGTCTTATTTCACGCTCTTCCACACCTTTTTCCTGCTTTTTTTGATTAGTGCTTCATTGGCCACCTGTTCTAGCAAATGTGACCCCTGAAACCTGCCAAAGTCCATCGCGGGCGCTGTCTTTAACTTTTAGACCTCCGTTGCCCCAATGTGTGCTTCCGACACTACTACCTGCTTTGCTGAAGTGAAGATCTTCATCTGCTTCCATGAAGTGAATGCGCTGTTATTCTTCTCTTGTTAGGCATTTTCTCTCCAGCAGTCTGTCACAATAGCAGTTAGGGAACCCCACTACTGCGTGGCACCAGGTCGAGATGATCCAAGTCGCAACTTAAAGACCTATTCCACGATTGCGAGTTATAGGTAGAGACGTTCAAATAGCTAAAGAGACTTGTTGCTTCCAAGTGGCTTACTGAGCAAGTAATTAATCAGTGACCTTTTCAATGCGTTTTAAATGAGCCACTTGTTCATTTTACCACCTGGAACAAACATGCCACTGAGTCGAGATGCCAATGATGATAGGTACACCTAAGAGGGAGCTCTTAGTCGCAGAGACAACGAAGATGGGTGTTCATAGATTATGGAAGCAACTACATCGAAGTAAGCGAGGTGGCACCATAGTCATACGCACCGGCGCTTTTGCCATGGATATTACAGTGGTGCGAAATTGATGAAGTAAGCGCAACTGTTTATGATGGCCAACCTGCCATCATAAACACGAAAGAGATACCCACTGCCAGGTTTCGCAGAAGTGTTAGAGGGGAAAAAGCCCGTTTCTAGAAGTAAAGGCCTAGATGCGCATTGTGCCGAAGAGGTTGACACTGAGTTTTCTTGGATTTCAGATACAATTCTCTACCAAAGAAAACTACAAAAGAGTGGTCGTCACCAACCTTGCGACCGAAACTATTATGTGGTCACTGAAGGTAGGATTAACAAGTTAACACAATCAAAAGGTGTTCGGGTGCACCATCCACGCGGTCATGTCATGAGAATGAAGTGTAAAGCGGTTATTCGCTCAGTCGCAGACATGGGCGCATCAGCAGGGAATATTCCGGAATCGTTGACGTGGACAGAACACAGATAGAGAAAGCTAGTGGACTCGAAAAACGAAAGCCGAGAGCCAGTCAAGCGAGTCGGCGCGTCGCAAAACTGCTGCCTGCTACTGTGTACGTCCTCCTGCCAGAAACGAGAGTGCGTCACGTCGAACTGAAATTTTGGTGGGGTCCTTGGTTCGCGAAGACGGCCGAGCCGCAAGGGGAACAAGGAACACAAAGGTGTTCCACGCTCTTGACCATTACAGGCAAACCATGCGATGAAGTTAATGATTATGATTTTTTCATAATTTTGTCCTAAAGAAGTCCAACGATAGGAGGCCACCAGCCAGCGAAATCAATTAAGCAAAGGTAACCTACCATACAGGTAAGGGCAACGAGATGCGAAGTGATCCCTCATAATCCAAGCCAACAAAATATGCACACCCGCCTGAAGGGTCTATTTCGTCGCGCTCGTCGCGACTGAGAGTAACGGCAGCTGCATCACGTAGTCGGCCGTCGCTAAATTTTAGGGCTACTCCTTCACTTGTGGTTTCCGCTATGAATTCCGAGAACAATACCATTGACCCAATCTAGCAGAAATATTTCCAGCGGCTCGAAAAAGATTTCACCTGGCATTTTTGAAGGTATCGGTGAATTTCAAATACCTTCTTACTAGGCGGAGCTGAAAGGCAGTTTTGACGCTACGCCGGCATATGGACTTCTGCGTACGAGTGAGCAGCAAGTGATAGTCATATGCCTAACACCTCGCAAGGCTTCATAAAAACTCGGCGAACGCTGGAAAGGTCAGTTCCGAGCTTTCGTTCATGCCAGTCCTTGTATAGCTGATGTCGTCGAAATCAGTCTGGGCGGTGTCAAGACTTGCAGGATAGGACCGCCTCCCTTTGCATATTCTGCCAACAGTGCTCCGTCAGTGACTGATTCAAAAAGAAGAGAACTAGTGGTAGATAATGCCCCGGGTCGGCCGACCTCGTGCCTCCTGACACCGTTCCGACTGATCGCAACGATAGCTCTCTTACTGAACAATATGCATAATTCCAGATCGCAATAGACTACGCCTTCGTTCATCCGTTTACACCGAAGTTCGACAAAAACGTGTTTCGACCATTAGAAAAGAGGCGGCACATTCTTCAAGCCATAATCTGCTGATAGCTTAGACGGCACATTCTTCAAGCCATAATATGCTGATAGCTTATTGTTAGTACTATCGCCAACAAGAAAACTTTGATGTTTTTCAGAAATTCTTATGTATTAGGGCTTTCGTAACCACTTTGGGATGTAATTGAGGGCAGATCAATAAATCGTCCTCGGAAAATTGTCTTACCTAGACGGAGAGTGTACTTTTTCTAAAACCGTCATGAATACTTATAATCTAGTTCGGTGCGACAAATGAGCATGTCAGGTGCAATGAGCGGCCCGTGCCAGGCCCGTACTCCACTAGCTGTTGACAAGCAAGCAAGTGACAATGTTCTGTTATATCGTTCCTATCGCTCCTCTACAAACTGTTGCGCATACTCGCTTAAAGAAGTGGCAGAGAACGGGTTAAGGGCCGTGGCACACTCATATTGCCTGACACGTTCCTTCATCCGCTGCGAACCAGAGGGCATCTGTCACGGAACGGAAGGCATTTTTACCTGCACAACATACAAAAAAAACGCGAATACAGAAAACCAACGCTACAAAACTCGAAGCTATAAAGTTTTCGAATGAGGAGTGTTACTACTGATATCAGAGGAATGAACACTGCTCACTCACTCGACCTTCAGCCTGCTTCCTAGGACCACATTTGATGCCAGCCGAGTCTTTTAGACAGGAGGCCATGGTAATGTGCCGCAAGGGAGAAGAACGCTTCGACGAAGCTGTGGTGACATCATCAGAACTCACCATATTCAGACGCTGGCCATGGAACGGGGGAGGGGGCGGGGTGCGACCTCATCCGTCTTACCAGTGACTTGAAGTAGGCAAGCGACAATATGTGGACGCAAACGTAAGGTAAACGGCGAAATCGCACTTGAGCATCCGGCGCGCGGTCCCGGCACGATTACCCTGAAGACGAAGCGCGCGCTCATACGATCGCATAACCACGAAGTATGAAAGCGCTCGTATTCTGCACAATCGAATGAAAGCGCTCGTATTTTGCACAATCGAATGAAAGCGCTCGTATTTTGCACAATCAAAATCAGGCCTGACGAATTTTAGAGGAAGCAATTAGATGTTTCAATTCGAAATGCCTTGAATGACTTGCACAATGTTGGCTATTATAATGTACACTTAATTAGGAAAAATCACCCATTCAAGAGCGAAGTGAACCCTTTTGATCTCCAGTGTGTGTAATCACTTTTCAGATGTCAATCACTGTAAGGAATGTAGAAAGTCTCGCCATACTCAACCAACTTGATGGGGTCAAATCCAAAAGCTGGCCAAAATGCTTCACCAGAACGGCTCCACTGAGTCAACCGGGAATTATCTGAACCAACCCGTTGAAAGTTGAAGGCATAAATCAAAGAGTACACCTCCTTTTCCCCAGCTAGAGTACTTTGTCAGAAGCGTTGCTTATAAATGTGCCCCATGCTTCGCATTGCTGAAGGCGCACTGTATATATCACCGACAAAATGTTACACTCTAACGTGGCATGTAACTGCAGGACCCGCAAAATGAACGTGCCAAATTGCTTGAATTGCTGCGACAATGATGAAGTGTACAGAGGCTGTTTCCAACTGTCTGTTTCCAACTCCAAAATGTCCCCACTTTGATGGGTGAGGTGCCCAAACATGATGAAAAGGCGTTTATTCCGACTTTACCTATAATTCAACGGAAATTTTGTGGGAAACGCCACATCATCAACATTATTATACAAGATTTGATGCTTTTGTGAGTATAGTGTGGTGATATTCCCTGAGTTCATAGTTCATAGTAGTGAGTTCATAGTAGTCAACTTAAGATGTTACTCGCTGGTGACGATAGTGACCATGATGCCCTAGTGCCGAAACCGCGCCGCGACCGCCGCTCACAAAGGCCGGATGCTGAAGTGCGATTTCGCCCCAATATGTGGAGGAAAACGGGCTGGTGACGGGAGAAACCCTTCCAACGATACGCCCCAATGTCTGCAGCAAAAGTGTCTATATTCTACTCGAAATGAGCTTTCGAATGGCGAATCTCAATTCTCCGATGTTGGATTATTTCTTCTTCCATTCATGGGCCACTTTCGATCTTACCTTTTGTAGCAAGCGTCAGAGTTTGTACCCAAACAACAGGAGAAACCGTCTCAGAAACTAAATGTATACTCACATCCGTAGATGCTGGGTCCTTGTCCTGCTGGGTAGTATGCAGCAACATCAGCATGCCACTCTCTCTTATAAACCGTGAGAACAACACATGAGAAGGAGACTGGAGGATAGCAATACCCGTGGGCTGTCTCCATATCTCGCCCGCGCTATAAACATGATGCAGCAGTTGCTTTGATGTAAGGTTCCGCAGCGAAAAACGCTTTAGAATAGAAAACAACTAAAAGAGAAAGACTGCGTACAATGACCGCTCTATGGTTAGCGTGTGGCTGACCACGCGGGCGGAGTATGGACACGGGTACAAGGAACCCCAAGCCTCCTTTCCGCGCACTTTTGACCCGATGGAGTGGCACATGCGGATCCATCATACCCAGACACGACAACGACCAGAATCCATTGAGGTGAGTATACACTGACTGTAAGAGTGGTAGATAGCTATAAACATGATGCAGCAGTTGCTTTGATGCAAGGTTCCGCAGCGAAAAACGCTGTGAGGTAGATTTCGCTTCACACTGTTGACCTGACTATCAATTATCGATGAAGACAACTACCTCTCATCCACACCTTTTTTCCATTTTTTCCATTCTCTCACTACTGCCAGCGAGAAAGGTGCACCACCACAGCGGAAGATCTAACAAATTCAGAGGTGACTGCTTGCTCGCACCCCTTATCAGCCTTTGCTATCTGATCTCACACTCTGTCATTCGCTCGTCCCTACCGTAATACACTTGGTGGGAGTCAGCGCCTCACACTCGCTATGACGTAGTCTATGAGCATTGCCACAGCTTCCTGAAGCCTCTTACCGGTTCCCTATCTGCTGTTATCACAGTCTTCATCTTTTTTGTCTAGCATCCAGCCAATTTTCCGAGAAGTGTAGTTATTTTGGTCACAAGCCGATTGACTGGCAAGGAGCACAGAGATATTCGATCAGGCACGTAAAAGGAGGAAGATGCAGTCTTTCAAACTGAGGAAGACGCAGTCCTTCAAAGTCATTCTAGTTAGTTCTAGTTAGACCTACCCGCAGCAGTAAAACCCCTTGAATGATATCAAAGTGATACTAATTTTTCCGTGAATTGATCATGATAACTCATGTATACCCCTATGGCCCACTTGAAACGGCGGTGAGAAGATGCTATTATTCCATCTCGTCCACTCAGGGTGCTGAGTGGTCCTCACTTCACTTGTCCACGAGGAACTTCTAACTCATGTGCTCATTTCTATTCTTGCCGCGTTCTTCTAGGTCGTGATGTTCTACTGCTCCCATAAAGTACAAGTTATTCTACGTAAAACATAAGAAGACTGTTTGTTCTTGTATACACTTCGGTACTTGTAACTCTGCCAAAGGAGAAGTATGAGAACTGCTTTTTGGGAAAGCTAGACGGCTGGTAATCCTGCGTACGCAGACTCGTAAACGTCTGTGTAAGAGCACGACTTCAGAACATGAGAGGCGGGCGTGAATCTGGTCCGATGTAGCAAAGGGTGCACGGACTTGAGATTCGTCTTTGTAAACACGCCCACCTCCAAAAATTGTGATTTACACGCCCCACATACTAACGCCATCACGGTGAATAACATGGAAGTGGAGAGGAAAAAAGCACGGAAACCTGTTCGTGCTTCATAGAGAACCCCTTGCTGTACCACGCATGTGCGTGCATAAGGCGAAGAAAGGGTGCGGTCGGACAAGTACACTCTACTTCGCTGCGGACGGTTGGGCGTGTCAGCCAGTATGAGTGTGTCACCCTCTTTGAGCTGTTCTCTGCCTTCTTGTTGAAACGGGCATGCGACAAAAAGCAGTAGAAAACAAGTAATACGAAAGGTATGATACAGTATTGTCATTTGCTCGCTTGAACAACTCGTGGAGAACGAGTTTGGCACCGCGCCAAACGCAGCCGCACGAACACGCCCAACCGTCCGCAATGAACTACACTATACTCACTCCTCTTTCCTTATCACCTCAACATTCAAAATGAGAGAGTTAGTAGTGGAACAACCGCACCAGCACGTACTCGTTGAAAATGAATGTTGGACGTAACCGTGGCCAGTGGGCGGAGCAGTGGTTCCGCTGTGACGGGCTTGCAGGCAGGTCTATGTACCAGGGAATGTGCAAAGAAGGCTCTGAACATCAAACGAACGAGGGACGTGCCTGTAAACACAATTGTACATTCATCTCCACTACATTCATCTCCACGAGTCCTGGTGGTTGCCGTGTGCGAGGCGATTGGGTCCGTAGCTGCAGTAGCGTGTCACTTCTCCGAAGGTGCACGGGAACGGACCTGGACCTGCCTCCATATTCCGCCCGCACTGCTAACGACCAGCCACGCCTAGCCGTAGCCGTATGCGCTAGTTGTCTGCGCCCTTTCACTTCTGGTTGTTCTCTACCGCTCAGTATTGCTTGCGGTGGAATTTCGGTATCGGCACAAGTGCTGCACCTTGCTGCCATTTGATCGGTGATATCCCCAGTCTTACTAGATATTAAGGCTCTTGCCTCTCCTTGTCGCAAAGGATCCCAGAAATGGATTGATTCGACCACGCTGCGCTCACCCGTGTGTCTACTTCCGCGTTGAGACCTCCATCGGAAGTTGCTGATCCCATATACTCGAATTTTTTTGTATGCGTGAGTTCAGTGCCACTGATGTTGATGGCACCCGTCTCACTAAGGTCGGCTGTCGAGTACTCAGTCTTTTTGACAATTAGCCTGAACCCAAACATTGCCAAACGGTCTGTGTTATCGATCCGATGGCATCTTTTCAGGTGTCGTCAACAGCTGTGATCTTAGGAAGTCGAAAGCAAGAAAACACAGCTGCCTCCCAATCTTTCATTTGCCAGAGGTTGTCTCGGGGGTCCGCATCGCTCCGCCTGCTTCGG